TAGTATTTTGTATAAATAATTTGATATTAGTGTTAACACTCAAATCTCTAAAACATTTAGAGAACAGCACCAAAAATGGCCCAAATAATCACATTCTTACTTTAAAATAAATTATTTTAATCTTTTTAATTAGAGTTTATTGCCTTTAATTTTTTAAAGTTCAGACTGATGTAAACCATCGTACAGTGAACAGCTATTTGGACAGATGGAAAAAGAAAGAAACATTGCAGAGGATCGCTAACATCAAAATGGTAAGAAGGAAAAAAAGCCCAACTAAAATTCTTCAAAATGGAACAGGAAAACAAATGATGATTTAAATACTTGCTGGAGTTTATTGTATTTCAAGCATATCAGGTGATGCATTGACAGCACAGTGAAGAGAAGACGTTTAATAATTGTACATGTGTCAACCTTCAAGCTAAATCAAAGTATCTTCTTAGGAATGCAAGTACCCAGAACACATATGCTGCAAGTCAGCAAAGCCTAGATCTCCTTTTAGAAATGCAAGCCACCACAACATACACTCGGAGGAAAATTTTGTGCCAGAGCTACCATTTCCATAAGGATTAACAAGAAATGGCTTCCAAGCAATCCAAAGCTTAGAATGACAGCATCATTGAAGTTTGTGAAACTGGGGATGCACAATGCAGAGTTGGATTAGGATTTCAACAGATTGTCATCCCGTAGTAGCTGCGACAAATCCATAACTGAATTATATTAGCCAACTTCTTAACTATTTCCAAGAACATAGAGACAACAATAAATTTGATTGAGAGAAGAAAATTGACGCCAAGAAATTCATAAAGGACGAGAAAAACTACCATGAATCAACATCTAACCCGTGGAGGTTCATAAATCATTATGATATTGCATGCAGGACTCTTCAGCGAGCTGTTGGCATGTAGAATTGAAAAAATGCAAGTAACACCTACAGCAATGGAGACACTGGAACCAAATTGTTTTCGATTTCCATGTACTTCCAGCTGTTGCTAAACAAACACCTGAAAAGAATGAAGAGATCCAAATCCAAAAGAATTTGGTTTGAAAAATGTTGAAACGCATAAAAGATTGTCATAGATATTAAACAGCCAAGGTGGCCTTGCATGGTAAGTTTGGTGATGATGAATGGGAAGCAACATTGAACAGACAAAAGTAGCATTCCTCCTGCTTTGAGTTTGAGATTGAGCTGTGTACTGCGATCACCTACCAATTTGTGTAAGAAATGCTCTACTGTGCCATATTTCCCAAAGACTATGAATCTAAAGACAACTATCAGAAAATGAAGCAAAGGGAAGACCTCAGTCATTTATATTTCTGTGGGCTGTCAGATCCTTCAAAGAACCAACTCAGTCTGCAAATTCAAAGTCTTTAAGAAATATAGCACACTATCCAAGCATCTCTTCAAATAGAGAAGACCACCCGTCTTGTAGATCCCAAATCTCAACACTTATCACAACCCAATATCCCACAACAAGATGGAAAATAGCAATCTTTAGCTCATTCCTGCCCCTGAAAAGAAAAGAAAAGAAAAATTTCTAAGCTTTAGTGATATGTATAACTAAACAAAAAGAGGCGAGTTTGAGAATAGTTTGGTTGTACCGGGCTTCAATCTATGTCAACGGTCAAGGGGCCAATACCCAAGTGTTAGTCTCCATAGTCTACTGAGATATTTAGTTCTAAAGACCAAATTCGAAGAGGGTGATTTAGTTATTGATGGCAGAGGGGCTTTTACAACAACTATCACAGAAATAAAGCAAATAAAAAAAGAAAAGTGCTTGTTTAAACTTTTCCTGATTTACACCATGACTGAATCCCTTTTTTTTTTGTTCAAGAATCTAGATGGGGATTGAATGTTTTATTTGTTGTAAAAGCCCTCTGTCATCACTAACAAAACTAACTCGACCTCTTCAAATTAATAGTCTTTACTGAGTGTGCAATTTTTCTCCAGCTCCAACAACAGATCCGGCTCTCACTGGATGCAAATTCAACAAGTTTTCAGCTAGAAACAAGGGTTTCCTACTTGTAATGAAATTTATTGATTTCCATGTTTAAACTTGAACTTGAAGATTACGTTGTAGAATATTTCCAAAAATGTAAGATTTCAACAAGAGAAAGTGGAAGAAGATTACCTTCAGAAGATCCTTGACTGGAATCGCCACGATCGCCGAGCCCGAGTGCGTCTAGATCTGGAGTCGCCGCAGTCGCCGAGCCCCAGTGCTTTTAGATCTGGAGAGCTTCTATGCTAGGTTAGGGTTTCATGGCATTTTATAGATATTTAGTTTAATTAAAAAAAAAAAAACTCAAAATATATAAATGGGCTTCAATGGCCTGCCTAGTTTTAAAGCGATTAGGACCTTGTAAGGCCTATAAATATTGGACAGAAGCCCAATTGAAGAATTAGAAGGTTGGGCTAAAGGTTTGTTAGCCTCTGCTTTGTCTATTAAAAGTATATTAAATATATTTTTTATATTTAATTATTATAAAAAAATCATAAATTTTTTTT